TTAAGTCTTTTCACTATCGGATATGAGGATCTTTGACGACAGCGCAAATAGAAAACTTCAAAAGGTTTCCACTGTAGCGCTCTGTAACCCTTCTACAGTGGTTCAGAGACAGCTCCGAAATGTGCAGTGCGGAGCTAACGCTTTGCCAGACAGTCTCTAAATTTTGCTACAGGGTGCATACATATTTATGCATCTAAGAATGTGCAATATTTAACGCGCTTTACGCTTTAATTCCGCTGAGCGAAAGCTTCTCTCTCTCAGCTGCGGCCGTTTTTTCCTACTTTGTTTTACACTATTTTCGTTTTGTTTACACAAAACCGATGGGGGGTGGTTGTACACAAGAGAGGGAAGAAAGCTTTTCGTGTTTATTTTTATGAAAACAGTTCCATGCTTGCATTTGGCAGCAATCAACAGGTTGCTGGGTAGGTTGTTGTAGGACTCGTACTCGTGCTCGTGTAAACCATTTGATAGTTGTCGGTGAAGCTTATGTGCATATCGTTCTTATAAATACTCGTTGAAATTAAGGGATGAAATGAACTTAGGCTAACGATGAGTTGCGAATATCGCCATTCGAAATCCCATTATTTCATAATCACAATTAGTGTGGTGGGTTTTTCTTACGTTATCAAAGTTTAATAATCAATTCAATATCTTGAAGATGTAAAATATCAATAAGCAATTCAGCGGCTTTAAAGTCGCTGTGACATATGTAAATGAAATTATTTTATCTTCACAAGAGCTGACCAGATATTCTTGGGAAACAATTGAGTAGTCCACTTGCAAACAGCGTTATGTGATTTTGTAATAGTAAGACATAAATAAAAAAAAAACGTTTAGAACAACAAAGTAAAATCCAAATTGTATCTTTTTTTATTATCTGAAAATTTGGATAAATAAGAGTCTAATAACATTAAAAAATAAAATCACAGTATGGTAGTTTTTGCAAATTTTATATATAAAAAATTAATATAGCGAGTTTTGAAACAGTAACTGTTACATAGCTAGCTTTTTTTAGCTTTTCGCGTTCTCTCTTCCATGAAGATTGGTCTACTTCGTTTTTACGACGTCTTCCACTAGGCACCGAAACTACCACGTTTTCGTACAGTTTTCTAAGTTCATCTGAAGATGGAGACTACTTTAAATACTGGTACGTTAAGCACCATCAACTAAAAATCAGTGCAGTTGTGCTCGCCGGCAGAAGGATGATTTTTAATTTTTTCAATTTTAGATCGCGAGGATGAGATCTGCATTTTTCTAAATCAATCGGTATCCAAACTTTTTTGTTTGACCGCAAAATATCAGGTAATTTCTTCAAATTAAATTTGCGAAACGCCCGAGAATTTTCGGCTATAACGGTAGTAAAAATACGTTCTTTCTCTCTAACCTTAGGAATTTTACACTCTTTGAACTATTTAGTGGCGCTGAAGATAGTGCGAGCAATCAAGAGTAGGTTGGTGCAATGAACAGTATTGCCAAGTAAAATAAATAGTGGAAAAAAAGTAAATTTATTAACTTAAATATTTTTTAAAGTGCAAATGAATTTTTTTTAGATCCTTTCTCCAGCTAAAATCGTTTACTCGTTGCTCCGCTCCGAAGCCCTTGTACGAAATATGAGCAGGAAAGAATGTTACTCATACGCCGTGTATGAGTGTAGCGTTATATAGTAGCTTGACATTTTTTGTACGACTTTAATTCAGACGAATAAAATTGAAAAGGAATCTGTTTTGTGGAACCACTTATTTTTTAGCTGAATAATGGTAAATTGGAAATATCTTTAAAATTTGTCCATAATAATATTAACTCCTTTTTCGGAATCATCGACTGATTCTACATGGCAATTGGATAGTGGCATGCGGTACGCGTTTTTTAGTACACATTTAACAGCTCACTTGAAGGGCAATGCAAACTTAAAATGAACTTATCTTGGATATATGGGCTGCCCTACAAAAAAAAAACAGAATAAAGATTCGTTATCAACGAATCAAAATTAAGTTTACTAGTTTTTTGTGTCATTTTAAAACTTGCGATTTTGCCTACTTATATACAGCGTAATCGTTATTTTTTAATTTTTATTTTTGCTCGGAGAATAATCGTTACTTTTTGAGGTTTATTTTTCGTTCGTAGAGTAATCGTTATTTTATGGGTTTCATGTTTTGCTTAGTGAATAAACCCAAATTTTGTATATTTTGTTTAGAAACCAAAAGTAGCTTCTGGTGTTTTATTTAAGGAGTGGCAGTGATCTAAAAATTGTCAAATAAATATTATGAAAGTAAATATGTATCACTCTAAATTTAAGGACTAATGATAAGATTGAGACTAATCCTAAAATAAATACAAATGAAAAGACGAATAAGATTACGATGGCGAAACCGAGGATAAAGTCGAACACGAAGATGGATGCAAAGACGAAAACGAACGCGAACGTGCACACGAAGGCGACCACAAACACGAAGACGAACACGGAGCAAGTGTTGCCAGAGAAAAGGCTAAATGCCTTATGCTGGCGACCTGCGGGAAAGAACCATCTACCGATACTTCCTTCAAGCCCATCCGTGTAAAAATTCACAGGCTTCGTGCTGCAACTACTGCTTCCCGTTCGCTTATTCCTAAAGGTGATGTGAGTGTCGAAAGAGCTCAAAAACTAGTCTATGCAGTCGCAGCTAATATTTTTTTACAAAAGGAAAGAGAGCTCAGTAATTTTAAGAAAAAGCTAAGAAAAAGGTATAAGCTACTAAACAGGATTTTTCCGGTTAAGCCCAGATAAAAAAGCTAAATTTAGCCAGAAATAGCTAAAGTGGCAACAGTGAACGGAGCCGAGGTGAAGGCGAATAAGAGGACGACGACGAAAACGAAGACAAAGGAGGACAATAAAGAAGCTTAGGAAGAGGATGCGTACGAATGAGACGAAGAAGTATGAGGAAAGGAGTAGAACACGAAGACTAATACGAATACGAATACGAAGACAAAGTTGAATACGAAGGTAAATACGAAGACGAAGACTGCCATTACAATTGTTTGCAAGTGGACTACTCAATTAATAATAGTACTACTATTACTATTTCATTATCTAGCTATACCATTACTGTTGCCATTACCATTATCATTACTATTACCGTTACAATCATCAGTACCATTGGCATTACGATTACGATTACTACATATTACTACTAATATAACATTAAAATTACTCTTACCATTACCAATACCATTATAATTACCAATACCCTTACCATTACCACTGCTATCATCATTAACTTTTTTGTTTGGATTTTTTCGTAAATATGTTATGTTTCAAGGAAATGGTATAACATTTTTTTCTAACGTCGTTTTCCCATATATTTTTTATAACAATTGCAATAATATATTGCAACAAAAAAATCTTTCTATTAAATCCTTGTGTATATCTCGAAAGTTGGGAAAATAATTGCATTTACTCTGCGCATACATCACTGTTGACCAGTGTAATAATTATTAGCTGTTTCTGGATTTAACGTTTAAAAGAAAAGGTGGTGCAACACCTGCTTCCTTACAAGTTTTAACTACAGCCTTCGATTTCCCGACATTGTTCGAGAGGAAATTTATCGCGAGGATCGCTTTCTCACGAGATTCTCGTGTATCGAAAAACTCGTTATAGTCGCGAACTTCTAGATTATGAATTTAAGGCAGCGTATTTAGTTTAGGGTATTTAAACCCTGAACTGTTGAATTTCAAAGCGCAATACTCGTAGCTCTCCAGAATATCAACCATGTACATACATACATGGTCCTTTCCAGTGAGGTCTGTACTGTCCAACTATATGGATGAGCTTTACAAATACCAAATTGCACTGTTCTTATCCATTTATTACTTTTACTCACTTTCTTTGCCGGAACCATCAAAAGCCAATTATACACACATACATACACAGCATATACATCGAACTAAATTCTTCTTATACGCACAAACGTTTTTTTTTGACAATAGAATATTTAGCATTTACACACATGTATGTCAATTTTATTATATTTTGTTTTTAATACTTTCGATATGCTCTTACTTTCTCGGGAGAATGGCGATACCCGAGATTGTGTCGAGAACTCGATTACTCGTTTTTCCGGGTATCGAAATGCTCGAGAATGTGCGAGCAGAAATCGAGGACCCTAGTTTTAACTGCTGAGGAAGGAGAGCTGAAAGATTTATTTATGAAATATTTAAGATTTATTTTTAAATTTACTGCACTAATTACAAAATATGTATGTGTTGTTATTATTTAAAAATCAATTTCAATTTAAAATAATGCATACAATTAAAAGTAATTGAATTAAAAAAATGGTTATTCATTACCAATTACGAATAAAAAGTAATTATACTTAATATTTATTTTTTCTAATTACCGGGTAATTTAATTGTACTGGTACTTGTACTTGAATTTTCCAACACTGGCTGGTACCAGGGGGTAACACGTTATATATTTCTAATACCGGATCTCGCACTACTGCTAATATATTGGGCTTTATCAGTGTGACTTTAGACCTGGTAAATCCACCGGAGACCAGGTATTCACCATACGCATACGCAGTGATTAATTACCGTCGGCTTCGTCATAACTGCTCCGAGCCGTTCGATACCACACAATATTCCAGACTGGACGACTCTCTATTGTGCGACTTCTTTGATCTGATGCTGGAGATGATTACAAGAGCTACAGAATTGAATCGCTAAGGTAAAATTTTTTATAAGACCATAAAAGAGGTCTCGAAAAGCCATAAATACTACAATGAATTTCAACTTCATATTTATTTAGACATGATTTGCAAAGGGACTCTATGAATTCGAAAACTAACCAGTTGTCAGAAATACTATAAGGTCACTTTTCTTTCTCTTTGAAACATAAAAACAAACAAACAAAGCATTCAAAGCTCAACTGCGCCGATGCAGTGTGTGTGCTTACAAAAAGCTCCCAAACATGCAGCTTTAAAGCTATCAGGACATGGTAAGGATACTGCAGCGATTCAGTAGCAGTTACTCCTTCGTTAGATACGCAGCAAATTTTCGGTGTGAACACATAGCACCAGCATCAATACTCGGTTGTGGCTGGAGCAGTACTTTGTCTCCAGACAAAAGGGTAAAAAAGCCTACTTTTCTTTTTCTAAGGGCCTTTTAGAATCGGAATAAATATATAAATACTGTGTGAAATATAAATTTGATCGGTTTAATTATACATTGCGTGTGAATTATTTCTAAAATACTTTACAGCATTTGTGAACTTGATTGCGCAGCCAACAGAATTTGATGAAAAATGTGTATACAGTGCAAGTTTTCGCATTTAGGATACATAAGTCAAATCGGCCAAGTGACAGACTTGGATTGGGATCCGAGGTCAATGAGTGGGAGAGATTTGAGTAATTGTACGGGTGGGGGAAATATGTAACTGCAGTTTTGTGTTTAATGCAAAGAAACTTGCTGCTGCAAACTACGAGTTATTAAGTGGAAAGTTAGTATGCTTATATGATTGCTTTGTAGTTCTCTTTTCAACGAAATTAAATGGTTGCTAAAAATTCCATTGCAGCGCATTTTGCTTGTTTAGTAATTAGGAAAAAGCAATATATGGACACTTAATTAACTAATTTCATACACAAGTTCAGTTTTTGATGTGAAACATTTTTGGTTTCAGCAATAATTATTTTCAATGATCTACATATATAAGTAGTATCAATATTGTAATACCTATTAAGTATGTATGTGACATAACTTCTAATATTATTAAAAGCAAAAACTGCTCAGCGAACGAATACCAACAATACGTGGAAATGACTACGAACGCAAACATAATATATGTATGCATGTATGTATGTATGTACATTAGGGCGGGTCAATTTGTATAGGAGATTTTTTCGGCTATGCGCGTATAGCACAGAAGGATTCTACGTGTCATTCTAAAAAAATTTTCCGAAAAGAAACCATATGTCTAAAATAAATTCAGAGTTTGCCAAATAGCGAATATAGGTTTCTTAGCATTTTCTTCGAACCCCCGTTTTCGCAATTTGGAAACCTTCCAACTGATTTTAGACCTATAGCTTAATCGGAAAATTTGCTTGGAATTACACGTGGAATCCTTCTGTGCTATACTCGCATAGTCGAAAAAAAAATTTACCTTCCTTAATGTACATATATACCCTGCAGGAAATTAAATTAATTAAAAAGTAGTTTATAAACTATCATTGCGATGCCATGGGAAGCAGTCAATTATCCGATGCACTTGGAAATGCATTTATCATGATCCTTTTAAGCGCTTTGAAACTTTAAAACACGTTTATTTCAAAGAATTTGTTTAAAAATTCAGTTCAATGTTGAATAACAATATGGGTATCAAATGGAAGAGAATTTAAAACAATTGAATTGTTTTGTTCACAAGGACTAATTAGTATAGAATATGTATTAAATTCATTTAAAATAAGTTGCCTAAATATTACTTCTAACAAATGTTGATTTTTAAAACTGTGTTCTAATAAATATGTATATCGGGAAAAAATCATTATAATATGGGCAGCAATATCGACAAATTGAAATTTTTGATAATTAGATGAATGATTTTTCGATATTAGTAATAATAATAATAGAATGGTGCTTACACATAGTGTTTGGTCGAGCTTCTCCTCCGATTTGTGGTGTGCACCTTGATGTTGTCACACAAAGGAAGGGACCTACAGATTTACAGCGACCCCAAAAGGCGATTGTATTTTTCTGAGAAGTTGTTTTTCATGGCAAAAATACACTCGGAGGTTTGCCATTGCCTGCCGAGGGGCGACCGCTATTAAAAAAACATTTTTTTTTTTTATTTTTTATTTTTTTATGTTAGGTTGAACCGGGCTTGAACCCAGACCTTGCGGAATGGTAGCCCGCACAGCTAACTACTACAGCGCAGCGGCTTTAGATTAGATTCGGTTAAATGGTTTTCCCTTAACACAGGTACATTGCTGTGGGCTTACAGGTAAGGTTCTCAACCAAATCAATTTTACAGATTTATGAGTTTGAGAAGTTGTTTCCATTGACATCACCTTAGAAGGGGTCTTAGTATTTGCACAGAGGTGCATATATTGGAAAGTACTATTTAGGTATGTAGTTAAAAGAAAGTCAACCATTTCCTTGTTAGCTAGGACCTTCCTGTTTAAGCGGTTCTTTAGCTATGCAATTCACTCTAATAGCACTGAGTCTTATATCATTCTAATAAGATATTTAGAAACCGAACCAAATGCGTGCAATTTCAGTTAGATCCCAGTTATGCATACTTGGCTTTGCATGAGAGTTGCAACATAAGAATCTGTTAAACGGGCTTTGCGTGTAAGCGGTTACCCAACGCATAGCACTTAACATGTAGAATTCTGTTGGGTTTTGATTTTTACGTAAAAATGGTATAGCAGTGCAAGCCTGCATAACTGGGCTATTAGACGAAGGACCTGATTGGCTTGACATTCAGAGTAAATATTGCCCTGCTTAAACTGGTTCTGTGAGATCAATTTGAGGTTTATGGGAAATAGATAGATATAATTCAACTCTTCTGTCCAATTTCAATCCGCTGGCGGAGAGCTTCATTGTGGGATTTGGGTCGAGAAGAAGCCATCGCGGGTACATAAGAACCCACACGCCATAAAAGCGTATACTAAAAGTGGATTGATATAAACTAATACAAGTTCAGTGTGATTGCAATGTGATTTCTCAAGATGATTTATTCTTTTGTTTTGCAACAAAGGCAGGACATTCTCTAAATAGATAGATAACTATATCTGTTAAAACATGATGCCAGTGCTAACTACATGACAATGTGAAATTCTTTCTACTACATAACTAATTCCGTAAATAATTTAATTTTCCATTCTCAGTTAGATCGTATTTTTATTTGTCCCTTCTCATTGTCAATAGTCGCATTGATTTTTGTCATTGCTGCTATAATAAAAAGCAAAAGAATTACAGCAATTTCTTCTTGTTGCAAAGTTAAACAAGTGCACATTGAACTTGCTGAACATCAACAGCGGCTACAGCAGTCGCCATAGGGACACCTTGGCATTTCAGCCCTCCTACTGTTGCAATGCATGTTATTTACACTGTCTGGTTCGCAATAACAAAACGTCATTCATTGAAGTACTTTTTTGCCGCCCCTTATTACCTTCGCCTCAGTGTTAATATCTACTTGACCACTTATTGTTTTGCACTTTTACTTTCTTGTTTTTGTTTTTCCTTTTCTCTTGTTTTCTTATTCGAAATGTGTTGAATACTTTATAAGACTATAGCAATGCCTACATACAAAGACCTTCATTCACATTGCCTTTGCTTGTATTTCAGTGCCAAGTCGTCAGTATCTACAGGAGGGAGTATAGTCGGTCATAGTGCTTGGCAGTATACGCAACATAAAATAATTGGCGCTTATTCTTACATACACACATCCACGCGGAAATTCAATTTGAGGGACATTGAAAATGGCATGCCCTTTCTTTCGACGTACCGACTCACTGTTGCGTCAGCCATCGGTTTCTGCGGAAACGGGCAACAACACTTGGCTTTTGGAGGATGAAGAGCAACCGGATGATGCGCTTACACTGACGCATTTGCAATTGGCCATACAGCTGCTCACAGCGCCGTCGGTAAGTGAGTGCGGGAAAATATAACGAGTGAGAAAGCTTAACGCGGAAAATTCATTGTATGAGGTTCTACTAGTACTGGCGTGACAGTGTATTGGCCATCTACACTATGCTTGTTGTACTGCCATGGGGGAGCAAGCATCAAAAGTAGACCGACATTCTCGTTACTGGTATGAGCTTTTTACTGGAATCAGTTCATGCCAGCGTCTGTTTACATTATGGTATCAGGTGGAAAATAGTTGCGTATCTGTGACTTTGTGACGGCTACTCAAAAGTCACGGGGAACTGCTGTGACGACTTCCAAAAGTCACCGTGACAGACTGTGACAAGGGAACAGTCGCAATCATGATACAAAAATAGAAGGTAGTTTCATTTATTGACATTCGTTGTTTTGCCTACCACTTCGCTTTTAACAAGTTTATGAAATTTAACTAAAATCATGCTACCAGATTCATTAGTAGCAAAATTTTGGTTTATTGAAAAAGTAAAAAAAGGTTTGAAGCTAGTGAAGTTGGATGAAAAAATTAAAATAAAAGCCTTGCGCGTTCCAAACTGCACGAAGTCGGTACACCTGGTGCAAAGGAACGAAAATAAAGCCTTTTGTTTTTCCGCGGATAGAGTAGGGGAAGTAGGGGTATTATTTTGCAGATTTTGGATTATATCTAGGTCACACATATTCTAAGGTATCGGACAGCATCAATGTTAACACGAATCTGCTTCTCTCAAGCATGAAAATTCACTTAATCTTGGGACACCTTTAAATAAAGGAAAATTAAAAAAGCACAATATGAAACTAAAGGGTAATTTATGCTTAAGGGCCACCATTTTTTTGCATTATACTTGCCTCTCTTCGCTAGTTCTATATACTCTTCATTACCAATATGTTTTCGGTGGAGAGCTATTTGTAACGTAACAGTCTTTTGAACTAATTTAATTTTCAGGTAACATTTCTTTCCTATTAAGAATAGTACTTAATGGCATGGAGCCAGTGGCGCACCCAGGAATATATTTTGGGAGGGGTTTATACTTCTGAAAATTCGCTTCAGATAATATGCTCTTTAAGGTACATTTATGCAAGTTTTTTCATAAATTGCACTTTATTTACATAAAATTAGCAAAGAACTCAAACATTTGTAACCGACTTCGAAAAAGGGAGAGGTTTTCAGTGCGTCGGAATATTTTTTTCTTTTTAATGTATGCTACCGCATAACTTTGAACCACGTGAACCGATTTCAATAATTATTTTTTTTTTTAATCGGAAAGATGGTACCTCAAGGGTCGTCCCGTAATTTGAAAATTACTTGTTTAATATTAAGTTCTATAAACACAAGATGCGCTCAACTTTCAAAAGTAATAAAAAAAATTAAAAAATAGTTTTAATGTTCATTTTCCTCGATTTCTGGTTTCTGGTTTTCGATTGATATGGTGATTTTTCATGATTGCCTAATTTTTTTAATATTTCGAATAGTTACCGGAAAAATTAAATGAACTTTCATTTTTATTATGTAGGTAATTTTGGTGGAACGAATTCGAATTTGGTAAATTAAATCTTCGAACCCTTGTTAAGTACATATCAGTGGTAAACTCTTTTAGGCTGCAAGGTGTAAAAAACAAAAGTAAGTGAGTATGCATTGCATATTTTTAGGACAATGGTTTCATTTGCAGTTAAACTTTTAAGAGCTCTCAAAAAAAAACGAAAAAATCTTATAAAATGACGCAGAAGAAATGGAATAGAAATTTTCTTCTATCAAAATTTCTTAAATCAGTTTGCATCTCTCAAGGAAAAAATGCTCGTATGTTTATTTCTTCAAGAAAAATTTACTGCAAAAGCAAAGTCCTTTTTAATAAAAAATATTTCTTGTTACTTTTCTTGAGAGCTGGCTTTAGCATACAGTTTGCATTTCAGGTTATTAGATTAAGATCGAGTTCGAGTTCTACGCAGAAAACTACTTCGGAAACGACCTACAGCTGCACAGCATCAGAAACTTTGAAATCTGTATTCATAATTATCATGTTCTTAGTTTCTTTGAATTACTTGTCACACCACAAGACTACTGAATTCATGCTACTTATTGCATAAAACACACTAAAAGCGANAAGATCGAGTTCGAGTTCTACGCAGAAAACTACTTCGGAAACGACCTACAGCTGCACAGCATCAGAAACTTTGAAATCTGTATTCATAATTATCATGTTCTTAGTTTCTTTGAATTACTTGTCACACCACAAGACTACTGAATTCATGCTACTTATTGCATAAAACACACTAAAAGCGATTTAAATACCTAATTATAATCTTATCGCTACACGTATATCGCAAAGGTAATGTAACAGTCTTTTTCTGTAACGTACCAGTCCGACTATTTTTACAAATATTGACCTCAAAATCAATTTTATCAGTTCAATTAACACGTAGTTCTTGAATTCCATCCTGAAGCTAGGAAACTGTGTACCAACTTTTGAAAACATTATATTAGNCGTATATCGCAAAGGTAATGTAACAGTCTTTTTCTGTAACGTACCAGTCCGACTATTTTTACAAATATTGACCTCAAAATCAATTTTATCAGTTCAATTAACACGTAGTTCTGGAAATCCATTCTGAAGATAGGAAACTGTATACCAACTTTTGCAAACATTATATTAGGAGAGCAGACTTTTCAATAATATATAGCAACTTTGAAAAGTACTTTCAAAAATTGTAATGCAACAGTCCGCTATTGAAACATTCATAACTCCTAAACCACAGGAGTTACAAAATATTTTTGTATATATTAAATAATCTCACATACTTATGCTTTCAGATGCAAGAAGAAAAATTATCCGAAAATCGTAATCGCGCGCGTTTCAGCGGTATTTAAAAATCAGTGTGAGCCAAAATGTAATGTAACAGTCCGCGTTTTGGACCATATGCGTATTTTTTTAAATTTAGCGTGTTTTTTAATTATAAATTTTTTTCTCTGACTGAATATATTATCTGAAGAGAATTTTCCGTATTTTCTGGTGATATATCACATGTTTTTTTATAGTCAGGAATTAAAACCACACTACCTAATGTTGTCTCGATTGAGGAAAAACTACTAGCGAAAGATTTTTGAAAATTGGAATGATTTGTCTTGCTCTTTTGCGGAAAAATATTTATGTAATTTATGTAAGCTTTTATTCTTTTGAAAAAGCAAAGTTACTCAATTGGGGCAAACAAATTCGAAACAAAGCAAATATAAAAGGGCATCTGGTGGCTCATAAATATATTTTTTTTTAAATAAAGATTAAATTAAGTTATATGATAATAGTGAAAGTGATTATTTATCAGATCTACCCCAAAAAAATGATAACGCGATTTATGGACGCCCCCTAATGAAGAAATCGGCTTTTACAATATTTTATTGGGATATTCGAAAAGCGGCGGCACGATATGTTTTCCATTAAGTAATTTGGGAATTAAATCAAACAAATTTTAATAGAAAATTATTAATAATATGTAGTCATTGAGTTTGCTTCTGCTTGTCAGCTTAATATGTCACATCTTTTATGTCATTATGTTGCGTATTAAAAACTTGGAATATCTACATAATTAAAAAGTTGGTCAAAAATATTCCGTTAAATTACGTTAATAAAGATGACCAATGAGTTCCCTTCCAAAAGTCATATTTTAGGCATACATACTTACCATATCTTATAATCATGGAACGGATTTTTAGGACCTAAAAACCTATAAAAAAGGCAAAATAAAATAACGAAATAGGCTGGAAAAGGCAAAACAAAATAGCGAAAAAGGCAGGAAAAGGCACTAGGTATTGCAAAAAAAGCAAAATAAGGCACTAAAGAAGATAGAAAATACGAAGAACAATCAAAAAATACATTTATTTTAGAAATGTTTATATTACAAGTAAAAAGAGAAAAACTTTCATTATATGAAAAATTTGTACTTTGTGTCTTTGACTATTTTATCCTTTCGAGTTTCTAACTCATAAAACTTTAATCTGTATAGTTGTAGTAACATTGATCCACAAGATGCATTTTGAAGTTTTCCGGCAGCATTTTCATTCGATTTTCGCGAAGAAAAGCCTTGAATATACTAAATGTGCGCTCGACGTAAGTTGATACAAGTTGAGCCCAATTTAAATATGGAACGTTTGAAACGTTCATATTATCAGGAATAAGGGGGTTTTCCTCGCCCTTTACAATTTTATCCAAAACACCCCTTATTGTCTCCAAGCCTACGTTAGCTGAGAAAACGGCTTTGAATTTTTCCAACACCAATTTGGCAAGAGGTCCCTGCGCTTCTTTACGCCGCATGGGCATGTGTATATGTTTTAATCTTAAAAAAAATTTAAGTGCCTATAATCACTTCTTTAAAGGTAGAAAAGGCAAAAAAGGCAAATATCTTAAAAAGGCAACATCAAATGTGTATATATGGAATCAGGGAAAGCTAATTCGTGGGCATTCTTAATCGAATAAACTCTATATCTTTAGCAGAAAAAAAGGCAATTTCCATAAAATCCGTTCCCTGCTGATAATAATGTAAGGTATGACTACTGTTCATTTTACTCTTTCAGAATGCCGATTTGAATACCGCTGTTACAGCACTTATCGCCAAGTACAGCCATAGCTGGCCTAAGATTTCCAAGTTGTAAGTATAAACGTGCCACGGAAAATATTTTTTTTATTTAACATACTCATATTTACCTAATATTTGTAACTGAACTCTTAGACGCATAGACTTGGACACTTTAAAAAGTGTGCCCAACTATGATTATTTGGCCGACATACAAGATATACTATTGGAGATGGACGAATCAAGTGCAAGTGAAATTCTTGTACTTCTCGGGGAAGAGTTGATCACTTCATGCTGCACCGGTATCATAGAGCGCGCTTTTCGTTGCCTCGGCACAGATTTGCAAGAGTTTCTCGGCTCCTTGGATGGCGTTTACGATGTGCTGAAGCTACAAGAGGTAAACTTTTTCATAAGGCACTTATGTTCATACTTAAAGGCGGCTCTCCATAGCAATGAACGATTTACGGGTATCCATTTTGTTGGAAATTAAGAAGGCAGGGAAATATTAATGAATTTTAGAAATGGCAGCTTTAACGCATAGTAAATACCAGTCCAACTACAGAAACAATCTTGCCACGACTGAAAAAACAAGTGGGGAATGAAACCCAAATAAATAAATTGTATATTAAACAAGGACAATTAGGTTTATAACATATTAGGTTTGTTCCACAGGCTACTCGAAGTCACTTCGAGTTACACATACGCGTTCCACAAGTAAGTTTTACGGGCCATTCACATACAACTTTCCTCGCTTTGCTTGACAGTTCAAACTTTGACAACAAAGCGTGAAACGAGGAAGGTATGCTACAATAAACGCTTTGACTGCTTTTGCGTTCTCCTTTTCCTCCATATATTTTATCTGTAAAATAGATAACAATATAATAATATGCATTAATAATAGCAATAAAAATTCCTCTTTACCCTATTTTTGTCATTAAATTAAGGTGACCAGAATTTTTTAGCATTCCAGGAGGACAAATTCTCCATATTGAAAACACAAAAAATTTGTTTTATATTTATTTAACACATAAATAACGAGTAAGTTAACATTGTTAAAAGAAACAAAAACAATTCAAAGTTGCTCTAAATACAAGTCAAACAAGTTAATAGTACACCGCGTTACATAATTTAAGACCGAAACATATTTCCGTTGATTTTTGACAATTTTTTTTGTTGACAGTGTTGTTAATTTTCTTCCATATAAAAAAATGTCGAACATACTTTGTATGGAAGAAAATGTGTGACAACGTAAAAAAAAGCCAAAATCAACGATATTTTGTAGACATATGAAACTCGCACTTTCTTTTACTAAAATTGCATGAGCTATAAAACCCCATACGCAAAACTTTTCTCAAAATTCTTAAACAAAAGTTTAAAATTTTGGCGAAAATTAGCTGAATTTTTATATTTTCACAAAGTTTGAAATGTGAATTTTTATGGTGTTTGTTAAAGAATGAACTATATTTTTATAAGAAAATATTTAAAAATAAATATCTGTTTTGGATTGGATTAAACAGGCCTGCGAAATCTAATTTTTCCCCTTTCCAATAATTATGTTATTTTTTTAATATCTAGGTTAGGGCTGCTAGACGTCTTGGTTTTACAGGATTTGTCCTGATTTAGACAAATTGTCGTGGAGTCCTAGCCCACACTTCGATTGTCCTGATCTTTTAATGAAGGTCAATGCAGACACTCCTCTAATTTTTGGCAGATTTTTGCTATGAAAAAAGGTTAAGCCTTCTGTCATTAGTAGTCGAAAACTGAAACCAAAACGTTTTTGCTAACATGTCGAAAATCTTCTTTATTTGGTTAAAATCTTTTCTTTTCAGGCGAATGCCGAAAAAGTGCAAGTTCCTGATCAGGTACACGACTGAGGGGTCATACATAAATACTATCCAGTAGATAATAACAAGATCTAAAATCTTATCCAAAAGGCTTTTATGAAAGTTATTCCTTTCTCCTTCATTTTTTGTATGGAGCGGCGCAAATTGTAGGGCTTCTGCTTTCGCTACTCAAAAAAGAGCTTTCAGAAGGGCTTTTGTAGGATGCCGTTTGAAGAAGTTCTTTTAAAGTTTTTCTTAATTTATAAAAATCATACTTCTTTAAGGAATTTATTTAATGTTCATATCAAATTGTTTTATTTGGACTTGCAATTCCTATTGAATCTTTTTTGTAATGCTAAGTTATATAAACATATACTTAAGTAAGTATAAGCACTTTTTTCAGTCCTTGTTGGGTAAGTCTTTTAGAATGGCTTCACTTAAGACAGCCTACCTAAATTATCTTCAGGTTATGAATATAAAAATTGGCAAAAATGGTCATGAAGTGCGTTGTAGGATATGCGGAAATTCGCTAATGGTGGTTGGGAAAACATGCAAGACCACGTTAAAGGCGCCGCTTTTTCAAAGTTGCGTCACCGTCAAGATAAATTTGTTCGTTTATAATTAAATATTCAGAACTTGAGCGTTTAATCATCATCAACCTTTCAGTTCTACGAATGTTACACAAAATTACATTGCTTATAATATCAGAACCAAAGCAACTTTACTTATAGGGAATATATTGGCACCATATTCACTTGTGTCTTCGTTTTTAATTTGGATGATAAGTGTCTTAGTCGATGGGTTCAGGATTATGGCAGCCGTAATCTAGGTATGTTAAATTAAAATACATCCCTGGTTCTTTTCCAGCGCGTCGTGATTTATTTTTATTGATGACATGTACTTACATGTTAGATTTTTTAGCAATTTCCATGAAAACCCAAAAGTGAATTTATTTAGAATAGAATTTTTACTTAAAAGCCAATAGTATTAGTAATAATATTCATAAAGAGACTAAGTAAATCAGAACGACTTACGTTATTTTGAAGTTAACGCTAGTAATGCACGGCAATGCTAAGAAAAATTATAAAAATAATTTTCTCGAAAAGTTTTCGTGACGACGAATTTTTTAAGGGGCAAACTACACAGGCCTGTGCTATTTTTGATTACGTACTTGGATGTGAAATAACACATTTTCTAAAATTTTGTAAGCAGATTTGCGCTCTAATGCAACGAACATACTTATTTTAAGCCATCTTACAAAACCATTTATCAAGATAAAAAATCCTCATACACAAATTTTGCCACTGATAAAACCTATACCTACATACATATGTATCTGGCAAACAAAATGACATATGGTAGGCAATAATTTCCTCCTGAGGAGACGCGTCGTTAGCTAATCTATCAATCTTGTAAATGGTAAAATATTATTGATTAGGGCTAAAGACGGTTACACTGTTCAACTTTCGCAGGCGATTAGTTGAATCAAATGTTTACATCATTTAACAGAAATTGGATCAATGTAAACGCCTATTAAATATAACGATTAGAAAATAATATTTTGAACGCAATTTTTTTAAAAGTTCATTACTGCTACAAAACTTGAAAAGGAGGACAAGGAGGACATTTTTGCTCAAAAGGAGGACAGAGAAGGACAAAATTTTTGAGGAGGACAAATCACGTTTGAGGAGGACAATCCTCCTCAAAGGAGGACGGTTGGTCAGCTTAATTAAATGCAAATGCAAGCGCACGAGAAAAGATACATGTAGACAGCTGATTGCCAAAGCGGGCAAAAGTTGAGAGATGCCCAAGATTTTGCTTCGTTTTGCTTTGCTTTGCTTCAAACGTTTTTTATGTGATCATACTCATGCATATGCCTACATCGATCTTATATGTCAAAGCAAATAACTATCAAGCAAAGCGAAGAAAGATGTATGTGAATCGGCCTTTAGAGTTTGTTTGATATACACTGACAGTTTGAACTTTGCTCGAGTTTTTCTACAAGTAGCTTGTGGAACGAACTTATTATGGTATGGTGTGTTAGTAAGGTGAATCGTAATGATAAATGTTAAAAAGTTGGTACCGCCGCTTTTATTTTAGGGCCTGAAGGATATATGTACACAATAGCCAAATTTTAGCATCCGTGCGTGGTAGCCAAATCCCAAAAAGAGGTTGAGCCAAAAGGTCATCACAATTTTCTTTCATACTAGTCCAAAGCTTAAAATTTATTGCTCACAAATTCATTTATTTATACGAGTATTACATTTAATTGTTTATGTGTTCAAATTTAGCTGAAGAATAATTATTTAAATTTTTTGGGAAAGAATTGGTCGAAAAATTTCACAATAAAAGAAAACTTCGATTTACAGCAATGCCCGGCAAAATACGTACGCACCCATAGCAAACAAAACGCACATAGCCCGGCTAGGCTACTGGCTGCCTGGCACTGATTTAGAGATTATGTTTTAACTTACCCTCACATCTACTATATATAGATCACTCATATTTGATCGGATCCCAAATTTCCTGCTTAGTATTTTTGTAAAATATTTTAACCCCCGTCTCCTATTGGAGCGAAGTTGCTAAATTTACTACATATAGGTATTCGAAGATAGGAACTATGCTTGTAATAAATTAATAATAATAATAGAATAGCGCTTGCCCTTACATATGTTAGTGTTTGGCTGAGCTTCACCCCCGATTTGTGGCGTGCGCCTTGATGCCACACAAGGGGGATAGACCTACAGTTTTACGCCGACTCCGAAAGGCGATTGTATTTTTATGAGAAGCTGTTTTTCATGGTAGAATACACTCGGAGGTTTGCCATTGCCTGCCGAGGGGCGACCGCTATTAGAAAAAATTTCTATTTTGGATGTTCGAAAAAAAAGAGATTTAGAATACAAATAATAACTAAAATTACATATAGTTTAATTGAATTAGTGTCCATAACGTGTAAGCTTTAACTTACTATAAAGAAATGGTGATGAGGTTAAGCGAAATCAGTTTAGGATTGGACTAAGTAGTACTTTTCTACGATGCGATCAGAATGAGATAATCAAAAGTACTGTTTACTATAGTGGACATATTTTTGGTATGCCTGAAGTACAAAAAACGCAGATGGCGTGTCATAACAAAGCAATCAAACACTATCGAGTTATGGTCATGGTCTTTATCAACCTGATCCAGGTTACCTGGATAAATAACTGAAACGAGTAAGACGGGAGGTGAGTGAGGAGGAGACAAGCTATCTTCAGTCATAAATCAGACTTATGAAACACATAGCCCATTACAGTTCGACGAAAATATTCTGCGAAGATTTATAGTCGTTTGAAGTATAGAGTTCTATCTATGCGCTTCATGGCGAATTCGATAAAGATCAGCAAAGCTTCAGCGCTGAAGGTACTCAAAGAGGTTGAGGACCTCTTTTACATTGGATAGCACAAGGGAAGAAGAATTTGACCGTAAAATGGGTATCAGAAAGAACGGAATGTTTTTTTAACTTGGACATTATTATTTTGTTTGATGAAATAGCAATTAAATTTTTTGTATGAAGCATCCTGGCACACAATAAAAACTGGACTGCATTTGGTAGAAAAAAGAGAAAGATTTTCCACATGCGCTATCAAAACGGTCTCCAAGAGAGAGTTTACTGAATCCAACTACATATATCACTTTTAAACATTTTATCTTGAATTTTGTTCTTTAAAAAGTTGCTTAAAGTGATCATACATCGTTTACCATTGACCAAAATGGTGTTGGCAGTAAAAATAGAACTCTTTTCAGGCGTTCAGCGCTCTATTCAGTTTTATATTACAGCTTGTGCGCCGAACATCTGAAATGCTTGTTGTGGAGTTCTAATCTAAGCCTCTCCCATTATACACTGCTATAAACCTTTATCTTCTTTAAAAAGTGAGCAAACCCTTTTTATCATTTTACTCACACAAAATGTGTATTAATTTCACAATTACTTTCACCCCTTTAACTTTAAGGAAGATGTCACCGATACTGGTTTCGTGTGCGCCGGCGATGGTGAGTTAATATTCACCTCTGAACGTCCTGTAATCGCTTGGCTGCTACTCGGTTCACTAAAGGCATTGACGCGTATGTTGTACAATGTGCAGGTCAATATTAAAATCGAACCAGTCGAAGGCGATTCGAGACGTTATCGCTATTTATTTTCGCTGGTTAAGGAATACAGCGGTTCATCAGTGGCAATGCAGGGAAGAAGTGTTGAGGCTGTCAAAGCGCCCGTGCCCGTAATGCCAGCACAGCGTCATAATTCGAGCAAAGCTGCTGATTTGGCAATGAATTCGCATACCTTCTGTAAGGCATTCCCCTGGCACTTCATTATGAACGAGAAACTGGAACTGATGCAGTTAGGTAAGATGTCGTAAGATGTAATTGGTTTTGTATTTTAATGCCAAGTGTTTTGCTTTCGTATTCTGTATGTAGGACGTGGCTTCAGTAAACTTTATAAGCCCCACATGGCTGAACATGGCTGTCATGCCACTACTTATTTCGATTTTAAGCGACCCAAAGGATTGACCATGAAATTCCGAGATATTGCACGGCGTACGTACACACCATTTTTGATTGCTCTGAAGAGTCCACCGAATGTCAGTGAATTTACGGCCAAGGTGAGTGCAAGGAAGTCCAATAGAACTATGTACAATCAATAATAATTGCGTAAACATTTATAGCTAACTAGCTTTTACCCGCGGGTTTCACCCCACGCCAGAAGGAATAAAAGGGGTCATGCGACTTGTAGTTCCGCAGTTATGGCTGATAAAATTTCAAGCCTCTGTTAAGTGCTACGCCCCCTTTTATAAACTCATTTATATATACCTTCCTATAAGCACCTACCATAGATATGTCTGCATAACAAATTACCAGTTCATTTCACTTACGGTTCCGAAGTTAGAGCTGATTAAATAATTCACGCCCATGGGTGGTGCCACGCCCCCTCTTCCAATACCGATAATTTTTTCCCATGAGTATGGAATTAATTTTACTTATCTCGACAGCAAGTTGCAATGCTCTATCACAAATATTTCAAGAGATATACAACATGAAAATTTTAGTGAGTATAGGACCACGCCCTCTTTTCCAGTACTGCCCATTTTTCTCATGCCTATAACCTTCCCCCTCACATTTATATATATAGATTAAGAATTCAGAATTGGTTGAAAAATAAATATGATATCGGTGTCACCAAAGACCAGTAAGTTGTACCACGGTAGCTTCTTATCTGTTTGAGGAGCCTCTCAACTGTCCCGGCTGGCCCTTTCTCATGTGCCGTATTCATGAGATCTCTGATGTACCAGACAGTCTCTGCTAAACGTCGCCCAACAATTGGCTTCTATCCAATTGGCAGCTCGCCAATTCTTCAGCCAGTTCGTTACCTTGAACGACACAGTGCCCATTTTACAGCAGCCTTTAGCTTCAACTTACATTCTTAAAAAATTCTTGAATAAGTACGAGCTGTTAGCAGCTTGGATATCACTGAAGAAACCAATTTTGTGTCCGTGCCACCTCTCGCTTATTATCCAGCCTGCTACCTTAAGTTTTGTAAAGTCATCTGATCGAAAAACTGATGCAATTATACTACCGAAAAGAATCTGACGTTACACAACACCAGTCGCTTCCACTGCATCGCAGTAACAGCCAATTTGCCATGGGAAGTGGCAAAATAAGTATTGTTCTCGCCGAATCTCAAAGTTTTGGGGCATTAAACACTGGGTTTAAACATTAAACTAATATTTAAATTGTAACGCTATGCTATTAGAAAAAATTTATTAGTGACTGTTAAGTCCAAGTTTTTCAAGTTTTTTTATGTATTTAGAGCAAAACTTTGCACTTGCTTATGGAGTTCTGCCAATGCTGTCCATACCTGATTTAGAGTACATATAATACAATAATTTTAGAAGAGTTTTTCTTCTAAATTTCGTAAAGCCAGTTTTCAGAACCAGTTTAAACTTAGATCACTACGTTCATATTTAACAGCTGGATGATATTTTATTGGCTAATCTTAGTTTAAACAAACTAGCTTCAACGTTAAAACTCAGTTTAAACCTCATTAAGCTGATGCCAGATAAAACTTTGTGGCTTTGTGTGACATTTATAACTTTGCCAGCAAAGCGCCAGACGCAAAAGTTATGCCACAATAAACGCTAAGAAAACAATTTTGTGCTGCTTTTTACCCATCGAAATTACTGTGGCTTTTATATAGTATATATTTAGCTTTAAAAATATCAGCAATGTAATTAAATTTTATGTCTCTGCATGAAAACTCGAATTTGGGCGAAACAAAATAAATATCAAACCGGCTGATTGTCAATGCGCGCAAAAAGATGGGAGTTGGCCATCTTTTCGCTTCGCGCTGCAGCTGCAAGGATCTACATACATATGTATGTGGCATGCTTTGTGTATTTTCATACAATTCATCTTATCTGTCAAAGCGAAGCAATCGTTTTATTTGGCATCAGCTTTAAAGGTCCTTTGTGTATTGAGTACTGATTTATCACCGTGCTATATACATATGCATTTTTTTCATTCACACATATATTTTCAGGGCCTTGAGATCAAGGGGCAAATGGTGCATTGTCCTGAATCCAATTCACTGCTCTTCATGGGCTCACCTTTTCTGGATGGTCTGGATGGACTCACTTGCAATGGACTTTTCATATCCGACATACCGCTACACGATGCCACGCGTGAAGTTATTTTAGTTGGTGAACAGGCTCGAGCTCAGGACGGTTTGCGTCGTCGCATGGACAAGTTGAAGAGTTCCATTGAGGAAGCCAATGCTGCAGTTGCAAAAGAGCGTAAAAAGAATGTCAGCTTGTTGCATCTAATATTCCCGGCAGAGATTGCCGAGCGTTTGTGGTTGGGCGCAAGCATCGATGCCAAAACTTATCCGGATGTGACTATACTTTTTAGTGATATTGTTGGCTTCACGAGTATTTGTTCGCGTGCTACACCCTTCATGGTGATCAGTATGTTGGAAAGTTTATATAAGGATTTCGATGAATTTTGTGATCTGTTCGATGTTTACAAAGTGGAGACAATTGGTGATGCTTACTGTGTGGCAAGTGGCTTGCATCGCGCTTCGATCTATGATGCACACAAAGTAGCATGGATGGCGTTGAAGATGATCGTAGCTTGTGGAAAGCATATTACGCATGATGGTGAATAGGGATTTTTTTAATTTACAATACCTACAATGTCAACCGATATTTCCGTATATAATCTTGGGATAAACTATATTAGGCAAAATATCGATGGTTATTTAGCAAAATGTTACAAGCATAGACAGACGGCAATGTTTATCCGGATTAACGGCACAGTTGATCTGATCAAAATTGTGCCTTGACGGCCGACATTAATGCGGATTAACGATCTGTGAGGTCGTAGGTTCCCTAACAACCAAATTCATAAAAAATAAAGAAGACTTTAACTGCTTTATAAATCGAAATTTTGCATGAAAATGTCACTTAATAAAGCTCTTTAAACCTACTTTATTTTTTAATAATGAGGCCATACAAACTTTGATTAACTAATAATAAAATAAAACAAAAGAAAGTATGTAAGATAAAAAATTAAAAACTTTTAGCAGTCGCTTGAACCGAGGAACGAACCTGGATTCTGCGGAATTTTAGTATGCAACTCTCACCACTCGCCCACCGCGGATGCCAAACCAAACGCGCCTGCTTTGTTTGCTTACTTGAGCAATGGATAAAAGTTGGCCATTTTGAAAACTAGCTGCAGGACTTAGTCCGTATCAACTGCAGTTAATTCCCGTGATAGTTATGAATTATCATTAAATTGATCCGTCTGTCTATGCTTTTAGAAAATTACGTACTTTGGAAGCAAAATTTTACTGACATCGTTAAATTTTTATAAAATAAGTACACACTACTAAAATTCTAAGTTATTTTGTAAAAATATTAAAACACGTGTATGTATATTTCTTTTGTTTAGATCAAGAAATCCAAATGCGCATTGGCCTGCACACAGGTACCGTATTAGCCGGCGTGGTGGGTCGTAAAATGCCACGATATTGTCTCTTCGGACATAATGTTACCATTGCCAATAAGTTTGAGTCCGGTAGCGAGGCTTGCAAAATAAATGTGAGCCCAACCACAAAAGAGTAAGTTTCACCTCGATTAAAAATATTCACAATCGATTGCTAATCGTTCGCTTTCTCCCCACATAGTTGGCTAATCAAGTATCCTGGCTTCGAATTTGAACTAAAACCACGAGATCCTTCCTGTTTACCAAAAGAGTTTCCAGACACTAGCGGTGATAAAACTTGTTACTTCCTCGAGGGTTATCGTCACCCAACATTAAGCGCTCAATTGCCTTTGGTGGAACACATCAGTGAGGCGCTTAAGTCCATTACGGAGCCGTAAAGCGTAAAGGCTGAAAGTTGACGTTGTTATTGAGTTTTAAAAAGCTCGCTACAGATAACAGAAAAGAAGAGTATTATTTAGTCAATACGATAGTAAATAAGCGCAAAGCTGTCACACCTTAACCAATATACATACATATTACAGTTAAGGCTATGTTGTTTAAACATTCAAATCAGTCTATTTGCCAATAACAATGATGCTCCTTGTGAGTAGATATAGAAAACTATCTTGATATCAAAATAAATGTTGTTTGCTCTTCAATATGCACAACCGCTTTTACGGTTTTAAAAAATAAAGAAATAATTCGTGGCTATGACCCATATAACAAGCATTGAAACATTTTTTATTTTTATTGGGACGTCCCCAAATAAGCTGCTGTCAAAGGTAGTGATCGTGCTCCCAATTCGCCGAAATTTTATATTATATTTTACACTTATCAATGTAGAGATGGGATAGAGATAGAGACGTAAAAATTTTTGTGTTTTAAAATGTGAGTGATAAATATTTTTTGCATCACTTTAAAACACGGAGCAATGAAAACAAAAATGATCCGTCATAAGAAATAAATTCTTTTACATATATATACTCCTCATACAAATTCTTGAGTGAGCCAAATACATATGTGAGGGTTTATAGAGAAGATAACGTACATACATATGTATATATATATGTAATTGTAACGCTCAAATTATCTAATATTCACATTAGCTCTAATCCAATACTTTTCGTGTAAAATCCTGTAAAAATGTCAAACAGCAAAACTACTCTCTGAAGTGAGAGTAAAAAGTGAGTAGCAACAAGAAGTACGGGAACAAAAAAAGCATTTTTCTTGTAAAAACGTCGACCAGTGATCGCTTGACACTTTCCATGATTTTACCAGACAAAAAAGTTCGGAATGAAACCATGTGTGTCAATGAAACAACTGATTATTTAAAAATGACTTCATCAACTATAATTTTTTTTCTTAAATGCAATTACAAATACACGGTTGCCGTGCTGGGTGATCTGTTTAGTTGGTTCATGGTAGAATAGCACAGCAGCAGGGGGTCCACCGAAACCAGTAAAATTTAGAAAGTGGTCTACGAGAAAAAAGTTTGGGAACCTCTGCTATACATTAAAAATAAAGCGACTGATGATGACCATCCAAAGAAAGACCATCCACAAGTAAGTTACATTGATTAAAAATAAGTATCAGGGCTGCAAACCGGAAACGAACCACGAACCGAATCGTTTTTATTTTGAAATGCCAAAACCGAGCCGAAAACCACTCCAAAAAATGTTTCGGTTCGTTTCAAAATGAAAATCTACTATAGCATTTTTCAAGTTTTGTGATACCTACACATCTTTGTCTAAAAATGCAACCCGTATAGTAAAATAGCAAAAAAAAACTTCCTACTCGGACTTTTTTTGTTCTGATTAAAAAATTTTATGCTGTGTTGCTATTTTGTTGAAATTTTTATATTTTTCTAATTTTCGTACAAAATTTTAAATTTGGATTTATATGGTTGTGTTTATATAACGAGCTATACTTTTATAAAAAAAATAATGAACTCTAAGCCAACAAAGGAAAATTAGTCAAATGTCGCAATCCTATTATTTTGGTACACTTGTGCATATGGAGTTAAATTCAATTAAAAATTCTGAGTATGCTGTTTTTGTCTACTCAACTACGTTCAAGACTTGTCAAAATCTTAAAAAAGTTTATGAAAATGAAAAAAAAAAAATTCCCAGCTACTTTGCATGGAATAAAATCCGTAAAAAATTGCCTAAAATCAACTTAAAACTTAGAAATTTTTATTACATAGCGAAAACTGCGAACTATTGACTTATGTGCAGGGCACACTTAAGTTATGAAGAAAACCCTTTTCCAACCTTCGCAATTGTACCAGCAGGCACAAAAAGGGTCCCCTTATGTATTAACCAAACTTATTTTATTATTCCATGGAATGCCAGTCTCATTAATCTATTGCTTTTGTGCATCTTCCGCCCTCTTCTTGATGTAGGCCTTCACCTTCTCACCAACTTTGCTGGCCATCAGACACTTGTGACCACGATAAGCCCACACATCAGGACTGCTGCCCTGTTCGTTATTGTCCACACAACTCTCCGCAATAGCTAATACCTCGGCTTCGTCCAAATCCATTTTGAATTGTTTGGCGACGCGGTCGGCATGGTAACCTTGATGTTCGCAGAATATGCCCAATTTCTTTGCAGTGCAAAGCAAATACTTGCGTACTGGTTCTTCGTCAGGATACTCAAAGTTCTTCATTTTTTGAATGTATTCTTGGCTAAGGGGGAATTCCTTGATGCATTCTTGACGGATTACTTTGATATCGGCTGCGGTCTTTACATTCCATTCCTCTTCGGCTTGTGCCTAAAATAAGAATATAGTAGATGTAATGTACTTTTCACTTAAGAACTTCGGAGCATTAATGCAGCATACCCGTATATACATACCAGTGCAACAACTGCAAGGATAGCAATAAAGTATTTCATTTTGATAAAAAGTCTGATTGCGGGTGTGCGTATTTCACTTGTTTGCCGGATTACCTCAGAGAACAACTGAATTGTTGAGCCATGTTTGCCTCATATTTATACATTCTGATCAGTGGTCAGTGCACTCATCCATATTGAATTCGGTAGCTCGATTACGAACCGATAGATAATAATTTTCATCGGTTCACGCACGATGCTTTCTATTTCATTTATTTGTTTAAACAGTGAATTGGTGTTAAATACTTACGCTCACCCAGCCAGCAAGAAAACATATATTTTACGAACACTATGTTTTACGAGAGATTATCGATCGGCGAAAAGTTAGAGAAAGGCTCGTAAACGGTAAAGCGAAAAAAGTAAAAGAAAGAGGCTTGTAGTAATTTGTCAGCACATGAAAAAATCTTCATTCTGTTGGAAAGTTTTCATGAACCACAATATTTTATAATATACACCGCCGGAACAAAGTATTGGCACAGCAAATTTTTCACAATATATGCAACAATTTTCATTCTAATATTTGCGCTAATTTCGTACAAAAATATGGTTCATTCTACAACAAAAAACTCGCGAAAATTCAGCAAATTTTCGTGAAAGTTTTCAACTTTTTAAACAGATTTTTTAAAATTTGGTTGGGTATGCAGATTTTTAGCCCAATCAATTTTTTTATAATGAAGTGCAAGTTTTAAGTAGCTAGGAATTACTTTTGATTTTTGGCAGTTTTTTTCAGACAATCCTTCCATAGAAAATTTTTTTTTTTTAAATATATACTTTATATGGAAAAAATGCAAAACACCTTCAACAAAAAAAAATTCTCAAAAATCAACACCATTTTTGACTAATTCCGCACTTGCATTTTTTTTACTAGAATTTAATGGGCTGCAAAACTGCATACTCAAAAAAATTCTAAAAAATCTGATTAAAAAGTTGAACATTTTGATGAAATTGCTGAGTTTTCGCGAGTTTTGCACAAAGTTTAGGAATTATATTTTTAAGTTTTTTGTTGTTGAATGAACCATATTTGTATACAAAATTGGCGGAAAAATATTAGAATAAAATTGTTTCATATATTGTGAAAAATTTGCTGTGCCAATACTTTGTTCCGGCAGTGAACATATAATATTCGCATACGAATGTTTTTTCGGTCCGTTTTCGTTTTCAAGCGAAAATGTAGTCGAAAACGATCGTAAACGGCTATCATAAACGACTTTTTAGCAGGTTTTTCTTCGAGAAAATATCCAGTTACGAACTCGTTTACAATGATTTTGCTGGCTGGGCAATTGCTTACAAACATATGTATGTATGTATATTAGAGATGGGCGCGGGATAACGGGACCCACGGTACTGATTTCAAAATGGTCGAAATGGGCGGTATCAGGAAGGTCCGGAAAAAGTTTGTGGCGGGACGGGACCAAAATCCTTTCCCGCCACTTTCGATAAAATCGCAACATCCGCAAATTCAGAAATCTTCTTTAAAATTATTGTATGAAATCCGCAGTTTTTGATGTTTTATTGTAATAATCGGAGGATGCCAGAAATTTCACAATTTTTCTTACAACCGGTTTCACCAGTAATTTAAATGGAAAATTATTCTTTATTTTCTGCCGATTTGCATATGAAATTCAAAAAATTAAAATAATTTTTCACTCAAATTGTTTTCGTGAAATTGGCTGTTAGTGATAGATTTCCAGGCCTGCGGTGACTTAAAATTTGTGAGTCGGAAAGGGCGGGGTCGAGATTGAATGTTTAGCTCCGTGCCCATCTCTAATGTATATATTTGCACCTTATCATCTCAAAACTTACTAGCACTAAATGCACTGCATATAAGTACAATATGTACATTGACACTTTGCTGTTTATAATTCGTTCGGGTCAAAAGGTTACCTGATAACTTTCTTTTGTCTAGTGATAACTAAATACTTAAATAGTAAATACACATATGTCATATGTATGTATGTATGTACGTTTATATGCGCTATTATGATATGCATAGAGCTGTGCAAGAAACAGATCCAGCCAGAGAGGGTAGAATTCAATTAAATTTAAGTAGGTATTGCACAAACTTTAATATGTACTTATGTATGTATGTATGTATGTAGATATGATATTTCAAAAGGCTTCATGCTAAAAGGTTTTATTGAAGTTACAGGCCGTTGCCTAAGTTATTATAGACATAGGCAGTCTAGTTTGTGGTGTGCTCTAAGTCTATTCCGAGATCCTTCAGGGATGTCATACCATGTATGTGTGTATGTGTTGTCAACTAGACTGCAAGTGATTGTAACTAGTCCAAAGTTTGGCCCAACAACATGTAAAATTCTATTTACATTTAACATTGAATGTCCTAGGCCCGGACCAATTGGCCGCTTCTGCATTACATTGTAACCAATTTTGGGGAAAAAAAACAAAAATAAAACTTGCGCCAGCTGCGGGTCGAACGGGGGTTCTCAGATTTTCTAAGCGGATACTCTCTCTACATCCCAACGCCGCACATGAAAATTCGTTGACTAAGTGCCTACATATCAGCAAATTGTTAATCATACCCATTGTCCGCTACTGCATGATATTGTAACCAATTTTAGAACAAAACTCGTACCTTACGCATTACATTCGGACCACTTTTAGTACAATTCACCTGTTTTACATTACATTGCTTTAAATTTTTGGACTATCTTTGGTCCAGTTACAAAACTACTATACCTACGACTATATTTTTCGAGCAATTGGACCAATCTTTCCTTCAGCGCGCTGTGCATGCTTTGTATACATATACCTTCTTAAATACATATGAAAAAGCATCCGAGACGTGCAAAACGCCATCCGTGTAGTGAAAAATGCTTCATTTTAGTACGGGAGTATTTGAATTGAATATTTCCATTATATGTACGTAGTGTATGTATAATGGAAAAATCCATTTGGTTAAGACTTTTCACTTGATTTAAATATGTACATTTTTAAACTGTAATTAATGTTTAAGTCAACACCTCAATCTCTACGTGTTGTAATAATAATAAAGTTCGGCGCTTACACAATATGTTAGTGTTTGGCCGAACTTCTCCTCCGATTTGTCACGTGGGCCTTAATGTTGTGGCACAAAGGGGGTGCCTACAGTTTTATGTCGACTTTGAACGGCGATTGTACTTTATGGGAAGCTGTTTTTCATTTTCAAGGGTTGCGCACTTCTAACCACTACACCCCAGTGGCCTATATGCGAAACCTATATTCAGATAAATTTTTTGGATTTTGGTATCGATATTTGGAATATCGAGTCTTTTTATTCCGATATTAATGGGTACCCGATATTTTTAAAGCGATACTTTAAATGAGTACCATATCGATACTTTCAGTGCGATATCGTGTCCCTAATTGCTGCAAGCAAATTGTTCCAGCAGGAATTAGCAACTTCTTCTCCAAGTTAACTGTCACTACGCGCTCTCAATTTCCCCTAGTTTGCAAGTTTATTGCGTACGCGAACACCAAAACCTGATGATTTGTGATAATTTGCAGTACTAGCAGCTTGTCGAAACGACTAATTGGTGATTAACTTCAACAATTCATTTTCAGATCATACATTTACACTGTACTTAAATGGCCAATATTTGCTATTTAAATATGGGATATGGGAATTCCCATGGTGGCGCACGTGACAGTCGTACGATTTCAATGTGATACAAAAAAGGAATACCATTTGTTTTCATTAACTTTTTTGGGCCATTGTATAGCACATAATTAGCTCTATATTTAACCGAAAATGAAATCAATCGAACTGCTTGGTCCTGAAATATAAGCATTTAAATAGAGTGTCGTTACGTGACAAAAAATGGAAGTTGATTTTTTCTTTTCTTACAAAATCGCAAAACTCTGCGAATTGTGGATGGCTATTTTCATGAAACTATTTTTAATATGATTTGGAGCAATTCTAGTTGTTTTTAGAGTTTTTTGAATTAATGCAAATTGTTTCAATTCTCTTTTACAACCCCAA